GTGCAATGGCGCGATCTCGGCTCACTGCAGCCTCCACCTCCTGGGTTCAGGCAATTCTCCTGCCTCAGCCTCCTGAGTAGCTGGGATTACAGGCACGTGCCACCATGCCCAGCTGATTTTTTGTATTTTTTAGTAGAGACGGGGTTTCACCATGTTGACCAGGATGGTGTCGGTCTCTTGACCTCGTGATCCACCCGCCTCGGCCTCCCAAAGTGCTGGGATTACAGGCGTGAGCCACCGCGCCCGGCCCAGTTTTACCTGTTTCAAAACAAAAGTCAGCATTATATTTATTGGTAAAAGATTAGTGTTCCAGATGATTAAATAATAATAATGTTTTTATAAAATGGATTATCACTTTATGCATTAATGTTCCTTTGGTAGTTCTGGCCAGTGCCATAAGTCATGACAGAGAAATAAGAAGATACAATAAGAAAATAATGCAGAATGTATTATTAGAAAGTATAAAATAATCAAGTGAAGGATTTTAATTAAATTTTTTTCAGGAGATATAGAATCAATAGCAAACATTCAATGTTTACTTCAAACACTTGAAATTACAGGGTTCAAAAAAAGATTTCATCACAATATCTACAAAATCCATAAAATACTCAGGCATCATCTTCTTGGGGGATTGTGTGACTTAGAGAAGAAACCTCAAAATATGTGATACTGAATTTAGAGATCTTTAAAGAGATATATGTATCTAAATATACCTCCCTTAGATGTGAAAACTAAATATTCTAAAATGTTAATTCTCAATGTATAGCTGATTGCAATAGCAATAAAACTTTCAATGGTAGTTCGTTTGGAATTTCTAAATTGTATATGGATTTCTATATTTCCTTTGGAATAAATTGGTATTGATGAACGTTCCTAAAAAGGCTAATAGAGTGGCAATAAATAAAATATTGTTGTCATGGTAGAAATGTAAATCAGAATAGAATCAATAGCATGCACAATTGATAGAATTAATCTCAATCACATAAAAGACTGTAATACATGATAAAGTGCAAGGAAAGGAACCAAGCTCTCAGTAAATTAGGAAAAGCTAATTTAACCTTTCACTTTGAATCACATCAAAATAAATTTCAGATGGATTATTCAATGTGTTGTCTGCTGTCTAAAACTAAAAACCACGGTAAATCTATCTGTAAATTGTTGAAAACAGAATTAATTATTTGCCAGATCTTTAGAAAAAGGCTGATTTTTCTTTCCCTCCTTCTTGGGCCTTGCAAAGGATAAATTTCTAAACTTTAAAGCATGAGAAGAAATCTCAACAGTTGTGACTACTGAAAAATAAAGGATAATGTACTTTTAAAATGACCTTAAATTTTAAAACCAAACATCAGCATTGTGCAGTGGCAGTGTTGTAAACACTGAGGGATTTTCCCAAGATACTGTTACGGCTAATAAGAACCTTCCTAGGCCGGGTGTAGTGGCTCATGCCTGTAATCCAAGCACTTTGGAGGCCAAGGCAGGTAGATCACCTGAGGTCGGGAGTTCAAGACCAGCCTGACGAACATGGTGAAACTCCGTCTTAAAAAAGAAAAGAAAAGAAAAGAAAAGAAACTTCCTAGTCCAACTGTGTTCAACTCATTGAATTTCAAAGAGATAAGACAAATGTACAAAAACGAATTGGGCAAGATTGTTCAATAAATTATTGATTATAATAATGAAAAATCAGAAACAACCTAAACTTCCACAATTAGGGGATTGGTTAAATACATTTTATGTATATATATATATTTATATTTATTTATATAGATAAAACTCTATAATGGACTATCAGGCAGTCACTAAAAATAATAAGGTAATGAATATTTATTGAGAATGAAAGATCCAATTTATTGCCGAGTAAGAAATTAGATTAGAGAACAACATTAAAAGTAGTTAACTCTGGACTAGGTGCGGGGCTCACACCTGTAATCCCAGCACTTTGGGAGGCTGAGGGAGGTGGATCATTTGAGGTCAGGAGTTGGAGACAACTCTGGCCAATGTGGTGAAACCCAGTCTCTAGTAAAAATACAAGAGATAGCTGGGCAGTAGTGGCACGCGACTGTAATCCCAGCTACTCCAGAAGCAGAGTCGCTTAAACCTGGGAGGTGGAGGTTAAGGTGAGTCAAGATCCCGCCACTCGCGTGCCTGTAATCCCAGCTACTCAGGAGGCTGAGGCAGGAGAATTGCCTAACCCAGGAGGCGGAGGTTGCGGTGAGCCGAGATCGCGCCATTGCACTCCAGCCTGGGTAACATG